TTTACGCGCCCATTTTCTGATTCAGAATTCTTTTGTTGCTACCACTTGATTTCCAGTAAATCAATTAAAATTAAAAGAGTCTAAGTATTTCTTTCTTGGGTTTTGAATGGAGCAGCAGCTGACAGGTTGGCAGCCTGGGACTTCAACTCACCTTCTGCTTCCGGCTCTGACTTTGCCACCCACAGAAAAGGCTGTGCAGGAGAAAAAAATCTGGGCCCTTCTCTGTCTTGGTTCAGTCTGGAGTTTATCACCAAAATGCCATTGGTTGCAATTCCTATGGGCTTCTGGAGGGCATGGGATAGACGAACTACAAATATTATGTACCTCCTAGACCTCTCATCAGGTTTCAATGACAATGAACATATCTTTCTGAACCGGTTTTGGGGACTGGAAATGGGAGAAGAGGTGGCATTCAGCAGGTTCTGACCAGTTCTGGGGAACCGGTAGTGGAAATTGTGAGTAGTTCGGAGAACCGGCAAATACCACCTCTGACTGGCCCCGCCCCCATCTATTCTCTGCCTCCTGAGTCCCAGCTGATTGGCTGGCTCTTCTTTTGTTGCCCTGAACAGGAGAATGGGGCTGCAAAGCAGGTTAGTAGGGTGCAGAGGGAATAGGATTTTGCAGTAACCTTCCCCCAGGAGTGGGGAGGGAATGGAGATTTTACAGTATCCTTCCCCTGCCACACCCACAAAGCCACGCCCACCAAACCACGTCCACAACCAGTAGTAAAAAATTTTTTAATCCCACCACTAATTGGCAGGCACTTTTTTACACTTAAAACCAGTGCATCATCCCCATTGTTGCATGATCTAAATTCAGAAGGTCAGCAATTCACTTATATTTGACCGTTGCAGTGTCCTGGTGTCATTAGATCACCTTTTGTGACTGACCTGATGCATAATCTTGGGGTCCTTCTGGACTCAAGCCTCTTACTTGAGGAGATTGTGGCTAGGGGAGGGGCTTTGCACAGATTTATCTATGGCACCAATTGTGTCCTTTCCTGGACGGACAGGACTTGCACATGGGTCACTCATGCCTTGGTCACCTCCTGTTTGGATTACTACTCTGGGCCTCCCATAAACTTCAAATGCTCCAGAACGCAGTGGCATACACAGTAATGGGGGGACCCCTAGGTTGTCCATGTGACATCTTTGTGGTGCGATTCATTTCTTTAAGGTGCAATTCAACATGTTGGTCACCACCTTTAAAACTATGTCTTTATTATTGCAATAGCACTTAGAACTCTATACCACCCCACCGTGTTTTATACCACTCTTGGTTTAATGTCAGAATATTGTCTCCAACAATCTGGGTCCTCATTTTACTGATCTCAGAAGGATGGAAAACTGAATCAACTTTGAGCCTTGCCAGGATCAAATGCCAGGCTGTGGGCAGAGTCAGCTGGTAATACTGCATTCTAACCACTGAGCCACAAGGACACCTGTCATTATTGTCCCACCCACCTTTATTATTTATGCATCCACCTGTCCCAGCAGGTGAGATAAGGTGGGCACGCTCCTACCCTTAAAATATTCATATTGGATAGTTAAGTCTTTTGCATTGCAGACCCTGCATCAAAACCTTGATCTGGAACCAGATGTTTGTATTTATTAAATTTAAATGCCTTCAATCCTGAGGTGAACTTCTCCAACTTAACTCCTTGCGAGGAGAAAAATAACCCATTTTGAGCAAGAATGGCACCGGGCACAGACATAATTAATAAGGCCAAGGTGCCTGTTTAACTTATAAACTGAACAAAAGCAAGAATCACCTTTTTGGAATTCTCAAGAGCATCAAATTGCTATCAACCTGAATGTGCAGGGCCTGGATATATGAGGCTTTGCATTTTGCCATTTGCTATATATGGGGTTTATTGGTTTTCCTATGAAGGTTTTATGGCTGTAAACCAGTGGTGGCTAACCTTTTTGGGCTCCTGTGCCAAAAACTGTGCGTGCGCTAGCGCTCGTGCACTCACGTGCCAACACCCAGAAGGCAATACATGCCCCCCCCCCCCCCCCCCGGCGCATGTGCGCACAATCCCCATGCCCCCCCCCCTTTACTTGCACTGCGCCTCACAGGCTGATTTTCGGCTGGTTGGAGGCCTTTTTTGGCCTCCCAGAGGCTTGAAAAAAGCCTCTGCAGGCCAAGTAGGCCCATTTTGTCACTTCCGGCATTACAGGAAAATCAGCTGTGAGGCACGCACATGCGCAGTGAGGTAAGTTTCCCTGCGGCTCGTATGCCGGCACAAATGGCTGTGCGTGCCTCCTGTGGCACATATGCCATAGGTTTGCCATCACAGCTGTAAACCATCTGGAGTCATGAGTTGGGCTGCCATATACATTTTCTTCCCAAGTAAAAATAAATGCATACAAACCTACGGAGTTTACATCCCCCCTTTATATTATATATAGAAATAACTCAAGGCAGCAAGCATACTTTCTAGAAATCCATGCTCACTTTCTCTCACCCAGCAAAGGAGTTCCCCTCGGTTCCGTAAAACTGAACTACTGCACTGGGCTATAGAAAGGAAGCTCAGATCAGATTAGAAGCCTGCAGGCTAAAACATATGAAGAACGGTGGTTGCATGGCTCGTCTAGTGAAGAACCAGCAGTGACATGAGAACAGTCTTCCTATATGTAAGGGGCTGTCACAGACAGGAGGGCAGCAACCTATTTCCCAATGCAACCGAAAGCCAAGCAAGGAAGAACGGATAGAAATTGATCAAGGAAAGAGTCAAACCAGAAATAAGGAGGAATTTTCTGAGACTGAGAACAACCAGCCAATGGAACAGCTTTGCCTTCATTAGTTGTGGATGCTTCGACACTGGAGGCTGTAAAGAAGAGACTTGACCATGTGTCAAAAATGGTATAGGGTATCCTCTTGGAGCGGTGGTTCGGACACTAGATGACCAACCCACTGCTGGGTTGGACTAGAAGATTAGATGACCAATCCAACTTGGAATCAGGGACAAAGTCCCTTCCAACTTTATTATTCTATTCTATTCCTCTCATCTTCTGCTCTGCCAGGTCAGGGCATGCTCCTAGCCCCTTCCCTTAAATATTCGTATTGGACAGTGAGTGCATCAGAAGCTTGATTTGCAACGAGGTTTTTGTATTTATTAAATTTAAATACCACTAATCCTAAGGTGAACATCTCCAACTCTTTGCGAGGTGAAAAATAATCAGTTTTGAGAAAGAACTGCGACAGACAGAAACATAATTAGTAAGGCCCATTGGCCTGTTTAACTTACAAATTGAACAAAAGCAAGAATAACTTTTTTGGGATTCTCAGACCATCAAATTGACACCAACCCTGCTAGAAGTGCCCTGTACTAGAAGTGCCTAGAAGTTCCCTGTACATACATACATACATACATACATACATATCTCCCTATATTATATATAGAAATAACTCAAAGCAGCAAACATACTTAGTACACATCCAAACTCGCTTTCTCTCGCCCAGCAAAGGAGTTCCCAGATTACAGACCTGCAGGCTAAAACATATGAAGAACAGTTACAAGAACTGGCCATGGTGAATCTAGTGAAGAGAAGGACCAGCGGTGACATGATAGGAGTCTTCCAATGTGAGGGGCTGTCACAAACAAGAGGGAAGCAACCTATTTTCCAATGGAACAGAAGAACGCCTTCAGAAGTTGTGGTTTTGCTTCATCATTGGATGCTTTCAAGGAGACTCAACCTCCACGTGTCAAACAGTATACAGTCCATTTCTTGAGTAATGGGTTGGACTAAATGACATACAAAATCCCTTCCAACATTATTGTTCTATTCTATTCCTCACTCATTTCTGATAGTAAAACAAGTTTCACTAAAAAGAAACGCAAGAAATTAAATGTTCTTCAACAGGGCTTCCAATGAGAGACAAGAAATGAAATTCAAGATTCCTCTACGCACAGCAAATTTTGCCTCCCATGGAATTTCTTGTGTAATAAGGAACTTTGTGTGAAACACTGTGCACAATCTGGGCATTTGAATGTTTACTCCCCAATGTGTAACCTTACATGATTTATAAGGCTAGTTCTAGTACTGAAATCTTTCCCACAATCCGGACATTCATATGGTTTCTCTCCTGTGTGAGTCCTCTGGTGTATCACCAAATGGGAATTCCGACTGAAACTTTTCCCACATTCAAGACACTTATACGGTTTTTCTCCACTGTGAATCTTCTGGTGTTTCACCAAGTAGGAATTCTGATTGAAACTTTTCCCACAATCTGGACACTGATATGGCTTTTCTCCTGTGTGTGTTTTCTGGTGCATCAACCGGTTGGAATTCTGACTGAATTTTTTCCCACAATACAGACACTCATATGGTTTCTCTCCCGTGTGAGTTCTCTGATGTCTCAACAACTTGGACTTTCGAGGGAAGCTTTTCCCACAATCAGGACACTCATACAGCCTCTCTCCTCTATGAGTCTTCTGGTGCTTCACCAATTCTGACTTGATACTAAAACTTTCCTGACATTCTGGACATTCATACAGTTTCTCTCCTGTATGAGTCTTCTGGTGTATCACCAGGTGAAAATTCCAACTGAATCTTTTCCCACAATCCAGGCACTCATATGGTTTTTCTCCTGTGTGGGTGTTCTGGTGTTGCACCAGGTTGGAAATCTGACTGAAACTTTTCCCACAAAATAGACACTCATATAATTTTTCTCCTGCATGAGTCCTCTGGTGTATCACCAGATCAGAATTTTGGCTGAAATATTTACCACAGTCCACACACTGATACCGTTTCTCCTCTGTGTGAATTGCCTGGTGTACCACCAGGTGAGAATTCTGATGGAAACTTTCTCCACAATCAATACACTTATATGGTTTCTCTCCCATGTGAGTTTTCTGATGTTTCATTAGGTAGGAATTCTGACTGAAACTTTTCCCACAATCAGGACATTTATATGGTTTCTCTCCTGTGTGAATCCTTTGGTGTTTCACCAGGTACGAATTCTGACTGAAACATTTTCCACAATGACATTTATATGGTTTCTCTCCTGTGTGAGTCCTCTGATGTATCACCAGGTCGGAATTGCAACTGAAACCTTTCCCACAATCTGAACACTTATATGGTTTCTCTTGCATGTGAGTCCTCTGGTGTATTATCAGGTCACAATTCTGAGTGAAACTTTTCCCACAATCTGGACATTTATATGGTTTCTCTTCAGTGTGAATCCTGTGATGCCGCACAAGGTTGGAATTTTGAATGAAACTTTTCCCACACTGCAGGCACTCATATGGTTTTTCACCTGTGTGAATCTTTTGGTGTGTCACTAGGTAAGAATTCCACTTGTAAGCTTTTCCACAATCTGAACACTCATATGGTTTCTCCTGCATGTGAGTTCTCTGGTGTTTCACTAGGTAGGAATTATGACTGAAACTTTTCCCACAATCATGACAGTTATATGGTTTATCTCCTGTATGAGTCCTCTGATGTTTCACCAGGTAGGAATTGTGACTGAAACTTTTCCCACAATCAGGACAGTTATATGGTTTTTCTCCTGTATGAGTCCTCTGATGTTTCACTAGGGCAGAATTGCAACTGAAATCTTTCCCACAATCTGAACACTCATACGGTTTCTCTCCCGTATGAGTCCTCTGGTGTTTCACCAGGTATGAATTCTGTCTGAAACTTTCCCCACAGTCATGACATTTATATGGTTTCTCTCCTGTGTGAGTCCTCTGATGTTTCACCAGGTCAGATTTCCTAGAGAAATCTTTCCCACAATCAGGACACTCATAGGGTTTTTCTCCTGTGTGAGTCCTCTGATGTTCCACCAGTAGAGAATTCCAATTGAAACCTTTCCCACAATCTTGGCACTCATATGGATTTTCTCCTTTGTGAGTCCTCTGGTGTATCTTCAGGCGACAGATCCAATTGAAACTTTTTCCACATTCGGAACACTTATATGGTCTTTCTATTCTGTGAGACATCTGGTGTATCACCAGATCAGAATTCCGTGTGAAACTTTTCCCACAAACAGGGCATTCAAAGTTTGTCTCCCCATTCTGAGTCCTCTTGTGTTTCACCACATTGGTGCTCATGCTTAATCTTTTGTTGTAATTGGCAGCACTGATAGTTTCTTTCTTGTTTGGGTCATTCAATGAATCACGAGGAAGAATTTTGAATAAAGCACTGTCCGCATTCCAAACATTTATATAATTTTTAACTGGGTAGATCCTCTCTTGCATAATCAACTGTGATCAGAAAGCTATGATTTTTCCACTGTAGGCAATCTGTGGAGGTTTTCCAAAATGATATTTTTGGATTCCTGAGGAGGCAAAATATATTTGGGATCTCTTACAATTTGCAGAGGAAATGGAAAAGATTTCCATTGATGGCATTTTAATGCTGCTTCTCATTCTCTGTTGCGCTGTGTGGTATTCTTGGCATCCTCTTTATCTGCAAAATACATATTAATCCCTTTAATATTGTTTAAAAATCCAACCAATACATGAGAAAGCAGCAAAAAAGCCCGATATATTTGCATGAAAAAACAAACACCAAAATTGTAGTTTAATTTCATAAAATTCTCTTTTTGGCTTGGATAGATCAGACAAATATGCAAGCATATTCATGGAGAAATAAAGACCTATCAATTTATGTATATAGAAAATCTATGTGTATTTATTTCAGTGTGCAAAATGTCCCAAAAGTTCATTTTCTCAATTTTTTAAAATCTAAATTTGGAAAGGTGCAGATACTAAGTGACGAAATGGTTCCCAAATCCTATGCAAAATATCCGTTTTGCACAAGAAACTCCTCGCTTTCCATCAAAACAACATGTCAATCAAATGACAAGGAATCATGTGTTGCGTGAAGGATGAGCGAACTGGGCACTTAAGAAATACAAAAAATAAAGACTTTTTAAATGTCCCAAATCTCCCAGGGGAAAAATCGCAGGCAGAAGTTTTAAATCATGCAGCAAAAGGATAATAAGGTTTGGGGAAAGAATGAATATGCAGCAGAAGCCGGCCATGTTTCAGCAACAGAGTGGTCAATGTCTGGAATACTCTACCTGACTCTGTGGTTTCTTCCCCAAACCCCAAAAACTTTAACCTTAGACTGTCTACTATTGACCTCACCCCTTTCCTAAGAGGTCTGTAGGGGGCGTGCATAAGCGCACCAACGTGCTTACCGTCCCTCTCCTATTGATTCTTTTATATTCGTATCCATTTCATGTATTCATAACTATGATTACCTGTTATCTATAATCTCTTGACTAAATGAATTAATAAAATATAAAAAATGTTTCAGCCTTCTCCCTTCCCTGCTTCCCCGCCGTGCAGGAAGCCAAAGGGCCCGACTTGCCCCGGGCTTCTCCTCCGACCTGCCCTCCACTCACCTCCCAGGAACCGCTTCGACCCTCCAAGCAGGACAAGAAACTCCGCCGACGCCATCAGCCTCCCGTGACTGAGTCGGAAGACGAAGTTCCCCTGCCCTTCGCCTCTCTCCTTTACAACCTCTCTAGCAAACGACTACTCTATCGTTTCAACCCGTTCAATCTCAGCCTCTCTCTCTCTCTCTCTTCCCTAGAATAGCTCTGACGCCGCTACACCGTACCTACTTTCTTTGCCGCGAGTGTTGCTCCTCTGTAGAGCGCCATCTAGCGCCGTAAGGCTCGTTCTACCCCTAAGCCGTTTGAAGGTGTTCTCATTGGTTCTGGACTTCCTTAAGTGCCATCAAGTCTTATTATATTATTATCAAGTTCCCATCGAGCTCATCGGTAGCTTTTCTCCCTGAGGCTCCATTCCAAACCTTTTCTTTCAGGTCGCCCCAAGAGGGAGCTGAGCCCGAAGCTTCGCTTGCCAGAAGGGCAACTAAACCAAAGGAAAGTTTCCGTTGAGTGTGTATATACTGTATATGTATGGGGGTATGAAGGGTGGGAATGACATGCAAATTGGAAAGGAGAAAGTGAACCTTTTTTGGTTCCAAGCACTTTTTCCTGGTTGGGGGGGGGGGGGCAGGGCACAGGATAACTGCTCAAAACTTATCTCTGGAACTTAATGAAGCTGGAACTTAATGAACTTAACTCTGCTGGGTTGGATTTTTATTTATTTATTTATTTATTTATTTATTTGATTTGCCAATTGTTTACAAGATAATAAGTATAAGCGTATACATAGTTGTGAATACATGAAATGGGTACATATAAGAAAAATAAAAGAATAAGAGAAACAATAGGACAGGGACGGTAGGCACGTTGGTGCGCTTATGCACGCCCCCTACAGACCTCTTAGGAAGGGGGTGAGGTCAATAGTAGACAGTCTAAGGTTAAAGTTTTTGGGGTTTGGGGAAGAGACTACAGAGTCGGGTAGAGTATTCCAGACGTTGACCACTCTGTTGCTGAAGTCGTATTTCCTGCAATCAAGTTTGGTGCGGTTTACTTTGAGTTTGTATCTATTGTGTGCTCTTGTGTTGTTATGGTTGAAGCTGAAGTATTCATTGACAGGTAGGACATTGCAATGTATGATTTTATATACCATGCTTAAGTCAGACCGAAGACGGCGTAATTCAAGGTTTTCTAGTTCTAGAATTTCAAGTCTGGTGGCATAAGGTATTCTACAACGAGTAGAAGAGTGGAGAACTCTCCTTGTGAAATATTTCTGGACTTTCTCAATTGTGCTAATATCAGATACGTAATGAGGGTTCCAGACTGATGAACTGTATTCGAGTATTGGTCTAGCAAATGTTTTGTATGCTCTGGTTAGTAGTGTGATATTACCAGAGAAAAAGCTACGTAGGATAAGGTTAATAACTCTTAATGCCTTTTTGGCTATGTAGTTGCAGTGGGCTCTAGCACTTAGATCATTAGAGGTGAGTATTCCAAGGTCCTTTACAGAGCTTGGGTCATCAACAAGTTCTTGACTATTCAGCTTGTATTTTATTTTCTGATATATTTTTTTTGCCCCATAAAACTCCTCACTTGCAAGGAAAACAACATGTCAATAAAATCACAGGGAATCAAGTGTTAGATGAAGACTGAGGGAAATGGCAGTTAAGAAATATGAAAAATAAAGACTTCTTAAATCTCCCAAATCTCAAAATGCAGAATAGAACTAAAAGGGTCTTTATAGGGTCTTTTAGCCCAACCCACTGCTCCAGCAAGAGACCCTATAACCATTTAAGACAAGTGGCTGTCGTTTCTTAAGACAGTGATTTTCCAGCCACAACTTCTGAAGAACAAGCTGTTCCACTGGTTTTTTTCTCAATATTAGAAGTTTCTTCTTCAATTCCAGGTTGCTTCTCTCCTTGATTAGTTTCCATCCGTTGCTTCTTGTCCTGCCCCTCTGGTGCTTTGGAAAATAAGTGGATTTCCTCCTCCTTATGGCAGCCCCTCAAATACTGGAATACTGCCATTGTGTCCCCCCTAGTTCTTCTTTTCTCTAGACTAGCCATACCTAAATTAAGCAACCCGTCATGTTTTTGTCTCGTAACCTTTAAATTTTAGTGCCTCACATTTCCCAGTGGAAAATTACAGGTAGAAATTTAAAATGACGCAATATAAATGTAATAACATTTGGGAAGAGAAGGAATATGCAGCAGCAGCAGCAGCCTACATATTTCAGCCTTGTTCCTTTGCTGCTTCTATTCAGAGGAAACCAAACGGACCTACTTGAAACCTCCAAGTTTCTCCTCCAACCTGCCCTCACAACTCATCTTCCACCTGCAGCTCACCTTTCAACTATCTGGCATTTCTAAAAAAAAATTTTTTAATAAAGTACCATTTTCCACTCTTAGCAACCACATCCATAACTTTTCTCTAAGATGATCTAGCCCTAGTCTGTCATTTGGGGTGTTGAAGGAACGCCCTCATCATCACTGCAACTGAGCCAGGAGCTTATTTTGCAAAAACGAAACCAATGGAAACTTGCCTTGCAACTGAGTGAAAAGTGAAGCTCGGCCCTTTGTTTCTTCTGGGATTTTATTTTCTTTTACTTCCATGTTTTGCTAAGAAACACGGTCTTTCCTATTGGCGCCCATCCCTATCTAAGCAATGCAAAGGTGACAACTGCCCATATTTCTTTCCCAAGGTCAGGATAGATCTGAAAGTGTTATTTTCCCCCCTTCTAGGCAGTTGGCATCCTGACAGGCTTTATACCCTCAACAGCAATTTATAATGCATCAGAAAATCATGAGAGGTTCAAGGCATTGCTGCAGATAAAGATCACTTATAAGTGCATCAGCATCTGAAGAGGACTGGTTCTAACTGGACTGGTTCTTTTCTTATTTATATCTACCTTTTCTTCTCCTTTTTGATTTTGCAATATTTTAGGCTAGAGGCTCCCTTTAGTTATTTATTTATGTGTGTGGGGGGGGGGTGTGGGTGTGTGTGGTGTGTGGGTGTGGGTGTGTTTCTTAAGTTTTCACGGGTACTTACATGTATGGCATTCAGCTTTGTTCGGGTATTTTCCCACGTCATTGTAGTTGTGCTTTTAAAGTTGTAGCAACGTTTCGGCAGAATCTCATCTGCCATCATACAGAATACAGACATCATACAGAAGCCTGATGATGGCAGATGAGATTCTGCCGAAACGTTGCTACAACTTTAAAAGCACAACTATAATGACGTGGGAAAATACCCGAACAAAGCTGAATGCCATACATGTAAGTACCCGCGAAAACTTAAGAAAACATATATATATATACATATACATATATGTATATTTTTTCCTTTTTTTAACTTTCATTACGTTTTGCTTGGGAAAGGAGGGGGAAAGTGAGAGCAAAGAAACTTTGTAACACTGCCAACTAGAGGCTTGAAAATGTTATAGACGAAGCTGAGAAGGCTGAGAAAGAAAGATCTGAGACTCCTTTTCAAGGACATTGCTATGTGATAAGATAGAGGGAAGAGCACAGGAGAGTGTTATTGCAGGTGTTCTTCTGGATTTCTATCAACAATTGAAGCCTGGTGTTGAAGCTTACGAAAAGAAAAGCTGATAAGTCTTTGGAGAAGAGAGTTATAATAAGAGCCTTGGATAATTAAATAAAGTGCAGTGTGTCCTTTTTATTTCTTTTAAGTTGTGCTACCCCTCCTTACCAGCTTTACTGTACTTTTTAAAAAAAACCTTTATTTTTGTAATATTTTTACGTTTGCTTTTCATTTTAAAGGGAAAGCCTCAATTTTTTTTTCTCCTTTCTTTTTTGGGATTTTTTGCTTTTCTATCCACCCTTCTGGCTCATTTTTATGAAGAGGGCCATGAAAGTTTGGCAGCTTCAACTCTCCCTCTGCTTCTAGCTCTGGCTTTGCCATTCAGCGAAAGGGCTTTTGCAGGAGAAAGGCACCTGAGCCCATCTCGGTTCAGGCCAGGACACGTCACCAAAATGCCACCAGTTGCAATTCTCATGGACTTCTGGAGGGGTTGGGATAGACAGGCTACAACTATTATGTCCCTCCCAGA